TACAACAGAGAATAAACTGCCCAAATACCCTTAAACAAAGGAAAAGTACATCCTTTATGAAGGCATAGAGCCTTTATTACATGAAAATGAAAATTAGTGAATACACTGTGTACAGTAATTTACTTGATAAGACAGACCTCAGAAAAATACTTTATGAGGTATAAAACTGTCTATAATGAAAATTAATTAACTAAGTATATTTTTTGCCCTGCCAGGGTGTGGCCGAGTTATCCGGAGTGCCGGGTTATCGAGTGCCGAGTTTTCGAGGCTCTACTGTATCATTCTATAATACACGAAATTATATCTTAAGAGTAAATAATCCAATTTTAATAATTTAATAATTGTTTATGCTTACACAAATTTTGAGAGGATTTTATATATAAAATGCTTTAATTAAATTATTAGAACTTTTTAAATCACAATTTAACTTTTAACTAAGATTTTTAATTCTTTCTGAAAAATATGATTAAAAAAAAATTGTCAAAATTCATCTTACAATGCTGTAAATAATAATGTGTTTATAATAACCACTAAGGAAGTTAAAATAAAGTTTATTTATTGATGAGAGAGAGACCCATCTATTAGAAAAAATATTAAAAACTAATTTATATAATTTAATACAATATGATGTTTTATCTTTTGATATGGTAACATAACAAATGTTTTTCCTTCTCATATCTGTTAGAAATTAATTTCTGACTTGCTAAATTTAAAGCACTTAAATATCACTTATTTTCTTGGCAGAATACTGCCAAGAAAATAACATCTTAGACTCTGATATAATGATAGAACCAATATAACAGATTTTGGATTTAATGCCTACTTCAACTGCAATACCATGGACATTTCTTATTGTGTTTTTCAAACCAATGAGTAAGGAATAGAGAATAGATGGGATGCTGGCAGAAAATGAGTTCAGTTGGTGCAGAGCACATGCTATTGGGGAAAATAAAATACTGTTAAAAAAAAATATTAAAGTCCTTAGATGTAACAATTTGACTTCAATAGATATTTTTCACAGTATAACTTGGAAATATAAAGCGGTTTTTCTGGTATCACAAATTATATTGTCAGTATTAATTACACTTTGTTTACATGCATAGAGTTATAAGAATGGGGTTGTAAGAATTGTATCTGTACATACATGAAACGTACATTGTAACTTAATAGTTAAAAGCTTCTAAGTTTTGAATGGATATAAAGAAAGAGGTAATTTCATATGACTGTTACAGTTCTTACACTGATATAGGCAGAAATCGAGTTGTTAGATGTGGAAAACTAAATAGTTACACAGTTACAGTGTAATACTTTCAACTCAATGCATGTGCATGCCATATGCTACCTGTCTCAGTAATGACATAGTATGTTGGTTATGTGCTATATCATTGTCACCGTAATTAAGTGAATACATATATTTTTTAATTATATACCTTTTTGTATGAATTATATTTAGTTCATTATTACTTTTTAAATTATTATTTTTTATGTTATGCTAGGAATGTGTACAAGTGGCACTATATCTGAAGGCAGAAATTAATTGATATATAAAAATTAAGTAAATATTTTGGGATGATATTTATGTCTTTAGAAGCAGCAATAATAATTCCAGGAATTTTAATTAGTTTAGAAACATTATCAGACTGAAAAAATACAAAAATTACATTTTATAACACAACTGGTGTAATTTGACTAATAA